ATCTAACCTGTGGCCAGCATTTGAACTCCACACAGTTCATCACCCAGAGGGAATATGCTACAGTGGAAAAAAGCTACAAGGTAGAAATAGGGCTACTGGCTAACTATTTGAAGGGAGGGCATGCAACAGGTTGCAATCAAAGGTACCTTTTAGCCAGACATGGTGCTGGGGAGGACTGCAATGTGTGGGGGTGAGTCACACATTTCCTGTAGAGAAGCTCCTGCAGTCTTTACACTGGGATCCTACCCCTCTCTAAATACAGCTATTTTAGTTAGGGTTTGCCACAGGGAAAAAACTTTAGACAAATTTTTATCATTATGGTATATTAGAAGAAAAGCTTATGGGGAGCTGCTCCAGCCCCCCGAGCATCTTAGTGGCCTCCTCTGGACCCGCTCGAGCAGCTCCGTGTCCTTCTGATGTTGGGGGGCCCCAGAGCTGGACCCAGCACTCCGGGTGGGGTCTCACGGGAGTGGAGTAGAGGGGGGAGAATCCCCCTCCCTTGACCTGCTGCCCCCCCCTGCTCTGGATGCAGCCCGGACTAAGTGAGGCACATCTTCCAGAGACCCAGAGTGGAAGCAATTTGGGAGCAACCCCTGTGTTCTTCTATTACAGAAAAAGGACCTTGTGGCTTTATGATTAATCCTATCCTTATTGCAAAGCAAAATAGTAATCTTAAGAGCAGTTAAAAAGCGTGGTTGATTTGTAATGGGACAGCGTCCAGCCCATGCAATCCTACCTCCCACGCAAACCTTCCTCTACCATTCAAAACCAGGGACTGCAAAAGCCTGTCAACTGCAGGAATGCGTCTTTTGCATTTTTATCTCAGCTTACTGCAATGCATGTGGATTCCCATCAATATTTAGTCTTAAAAAAAAATGGTTAAATCCATCATAAATATTAAACATCAGAGTATACTGGCAAGTTTCCCTGAAAACAAACTTCAAAAAATAATCTCCAAAAAAGATGTCAAGGCCCTTGGGAGAACTGACACTGGTACGTCATCAGATGCTGTCTTACAAGGCTAAATTAAGCATCTGACCAGAGTTTAATTTCTATAAAATATCATGCTAATTTAAATTCCTTTAGATTTAATTAAAAATGCTTTTCTATAGAGATAATAATGTAACTCCATTAATTAGTATCAAGTGGCATCTAGAGGGCATATTTAAAAAGTAATCTGGAGAATAAATAGAGCTAATTAACAGTCAGAATAATGCTTTATGATTGTCTTTTGTTTATAAATGCTATAATGTTCAATATGCTATTAAATGAAATTGGTAATTAATATATATCAAAGCTATTTTTTAATGTTCTTTTAACTAACAAGTATTTCTTACGTACCATTTTTTCAGATGGTCTGAACACATTTCATTTCTGGAGGGAGGGAGGAGGGGGAAGGCGAACCACTGCATGATGTACCACTTATGAATTCAATTAGGACCAGCTAATTCATCTCCCATAAAGTAGGCCATATGGGTTTATGAGCCCATGGGGGCCATCCAGCGAGGCATTAGGTTATGTCTACATGGTGTTTGCTAAAGTGCAACGGCCAGAGCATGGCAGGTTTGCACTTCAACCCACACACAACCCTATGAGCAGCACCACGGTGCCCTTCCATAGGATGAGAAGTAGCAGATTTTACCTTCAAAATCTGAGTCTTGCAAAACCACAGTCATGGTTTTGAGGAATGAGAACGGCTCTGAATTTTGCAATAGTATCTTTTAAAAGACCACGAAGTGCTCAAGCACTACAGGAGTGAAGCTTGTAAAAGAAAGGGGTGCTAACAGTGAGGATGTGCTGCCATCCAATCCCACCATAAGAGTGGAGGAGATGGTGGGGCAACTGCAAGCACTGGCAGATGAGCTTGGAAGAAAAAGGGCAGACCTGATTTGGTATAAAGCTCAGTTTTTACATGACTTCTTGTGTGCAAACATGAGCTCCTTCTGAGTCATCTGGATCAATGCAGCTCCTGAGCTCCCAGCTGGCTTTGAGCAAGGCAGAGGGAACTTGTGCTTGTGTCTGGAAAAGGTTGCGTAGATGTTATCAGAGCTCACCAGGGCCAAAGGGCTCAGAGGGCTGCCCTTGTCCTCAATCAGAAGTTCCTGTTATTCTTCAATCATTCCTATGACAAAAGGTTTGACTGAATTCACTAAATCAAATCAAATCATTGAGGTACTCTAAATTACATCATACATGAAAAGCAGAGTGGACCAACTCTGTCTTTCTGTGTCCTTTAATGGTTATAAATCAAAAACAACTCCCCAAAATACAATTAAAATAAAAAGCATAAAAAGCACTTTCATTTGGTAATCTGCAGTACCCATGCTGTGCAATTTTTTGAAGCACCATCAAATGCAGCACGTCCTACTTGTATTTGGGTTTTATCCATAATTCTGTGTATTTCTCCCTTTTTTGATGCCTTGCTAATGTTGAAAAATCCTTTAGCTACTCAGAACAGAGTTGATTTCAAAAAAGGAAACCACCTCTTTTCTCATGACAAGGCTTCAGCATTACTTTGTAGAACAAACTTTCAGAATATAACTGAAGAGTGTACAAAGAAAAAAAGTAATTATCATTAACAAGAATAAAAGCTAGCCACAAGCCCAATAACTGCTGCTCTAACCTCTGTGAGATTACTTTCATGCCAGATTGAAGACATACACTTCCTTCCATAACAAGTCCATGTTCAACAATAGCAAGAACAAGTTGAGATTATTTACATAGTGTAGATAGGTGTCAGCAGACACATACCAACAGCACCTGAGATCCCAAACACCAGAAAAATGATCAAAGGAATTTGTCTGTATACTACAAGTTGGACTAGCCTCAAGTGCAGACAAAAATACTGGAAGAAATATGAACATATGGTATAACACTTCCCAGCATGGCAAACAGCCATGGCAAACTCTTTTGGAGATAAAATTAGATCGGGGAAGCAAAGCTGGAGTCAAAAAACCAAGCATGATCTCTGAAAGCGTTTCAGCTCAAGGTCATTGAAATACTTGCCATGTAACATCACCAGTGGTATCATTCTACCTTTTCTTTTCTGATAGATCTGCATAAGCCATATAAACCCCGAGAAACACTAATTTGCAGATGAAAATGAAAGTGCGCTACAGTGGTCATCAGTAATTTTGATGCCGTTTATTCTGGAGACTAAAACAAAGCAGAAACTCAATATAACTATCAAAAATAACTGCTGGTTTCTCCAAAGTACAAAGTAAACAAAAAGCAATATTTTGTAAGTATGTAATCTGAAAAGGAGTACTTGCAACTTGTAAGGAAAAGTTTCTGTTTTTTTTTGAAGAACCAATGATATAAATCTCCCTCATTTTAAGGTCTTCAAGAAAACACTTAAAAACTGTTGCTTCCTGCCTTCATCTACCCTGTACAAAGACTGCACTACTAATTAGCTCTGAAGGGTGCAGTGTGAAGGGAGATTTGTGCTACAACATGGATTGTGACAAATGTTTCCCAGTTCTGTAACACTGCAAGAATTTTGAACGGTTCTTTTCAAAGTTTTAAATTAAAAAAGATACTGTTAATTTTCTAAGTTCAACATTTATACTATAAAACTCAGTTAACTTTGTATTGGTGCTGACTGAACTAGTCCAGTATGTAACAACAGTGACCTGCCAAGAGCTACATCTGGCCTGTCTACAAACTGGAACCACCTAGAATAGCATGACAGCAGGTAACAGAAAGGGTTAAGGGCTGGATACAAAGTCCCAGTTGTGACGGTTAGACTCTGAGGCACTCATTCAATGCTCCTTTAGATTATACATAATATACTAATAATACACTATGTAATATGTAGAAATAATAATAATTAAAAATACTATATATCATTTTAAGCTCCTTCATTGATCTATCTGTAGGAGCTTACTAGAGAAGTAAGGAACAATTTGGAGCAAGCAGATGCCTCCAAATCAAGCCATTACAGGACAGGTATCAGTGCATCCACAGAGACCAGTGGCACTGTTATGTGACTAACTGATAGCAATATTGACCTACGCAGTCTGGTCCTACATGACAACATTCACAAGCAAACCTTAGACTAATCAAAGAGCACAGATTGAACTGCAGAGCAAGAGAATTCAAGTTCCTAAGAGATAATTTCATATTACTATCAAATGCATTTTAAAATTTTACAATTACCATAACCATTTATTTTCTTCAATTAAAAAAAAAAAAATCCAAACAAACAATAAATCCCCACTCTCCGAACGCAAAGTGCATCCCTAGTTTTTATTAGGAACTATCAATGTAAAGCTTAGTGGGCTGGACAGCTGGGGAGGCAGGTCCTGCACGGGCAAAAGGAGAGCTTCGGCTGCCCCGTCTGTCTCGAGAGGCAGACGGGGAAGTGGTGGCACTGATAAGGTCGGCCTCTCCTCCTGTGCACAGCATGCGTAACCCTACCCACAACATAGCTGCAGACAGCTCAGAGATGCACAACATGCTCTTGCATGTGGTTAAGGAAAGAGGTCTAATATAAAGCCACCAAACTCTAGAGACAATGTGGGGTCCTAATTCATGTTGACTTTTTCACTGCGGGTCTCTTCCTTGGTGTTTGTTTCTGAATGAAGGAGGAGCTGGTGAAAGCAGTGCCATCAAAAACATGAAGCCTGAGGTCTCCCCTCGCACAGTGACTGCAGATGTGGAAGCATTCTGAGAGCGAGCCCTCACTGTCCTTCACCCCAGAACCAAGAGATAAAGTTGTCCAGTTTCCAGAGCTGCTTTTAAAGCTACTTCACTAAGCCAGACAAACCACTTCCAGGGGAGTTCTTTTCTGGGGGGGAAATAACATATTGTGCAAATTATGAAACCCCTCAGAAACTCCCGGCCATTATCTGCTTGGGGAAGATTCAAAGCAACAAATGCAGCAAAAGGCTTTATCTCCAAAAGAAGCTTTCCACAAGCATGAAGGAAAGTCAGGCAAAACTATACTAATACGTGAAGAGGCACATGTTAAAACAGTAATTTAGTGAATAATCTTTTACCTAAAACTCTCAACCTCTCTGCTCCAACCACCACTTCGTTGTCATCTGCAGAAAACAGCAATTTTCCAGAGAGGGTTTTCACCTCAAATTTTTGGCTGTGTGCTTCCACTGCTTGGGGACCTAGAAGGAAGAAGAGATTTAGCACAACCTTTTAGTGAAAAGTATAAGAAAATCACATAGTAGCTTCACACATTTAATAAACCCATCTGCTGAGACAGTCCTAATAGCTTTTCAGATGCAACTTGCATCTAACAGATCAAACAGGGAGGTCTGTGCTTTGCAGAAGGTGACCTCTCATTAGAAAAGGGCACCGTCTTCTACCCATGTTTTTGTTAATGCTTATGTATGTCATAAAATTACCATTAAGCTTGGCATAGCTGGGAAATTTTCACAGAAAGACAGACCCACATGTGAAATAGCAATGAATATACCCAGCCATGCTTTGAGAGTATTGGTACAGCTGTAAGAGGCATCAAGAGTTCCCAAGTCCATTTTGCTTTGACTGATGCTGTGGTGTAAAAGATTCCTGGTTTTCTGCCTGTTAAATATACCTGGATTAAAATGATATCAGTGTCAGGCAGAGTCCAATTTAAAAGAAAACAAACCAAAACCAAAACACCACCACAGGAGCAAATGTTTTCTTCTAGACCATTTCAACCATGTGCGGGCCAAGACAACGGCAGGGTCTCCCACATTTCAGAAAGTTTTTAGATGAGTAAAACTTTCCTTCGTAGCTCTTATTTCAATTCTGCTGCTTCTCCTGCAGACTGCTGTGCACTGCAGTGGTAGAAAGCCTCTGGCAATGTGTTTTGTTGTGGAGCCTGATAAACATCAGCTGCCTGAATAGCAATTCTGTGCAGGTCTGTGGCTCAAAGGCTACAAAAAGCAGATCTCTCTGACCCAGGCTAAACTTTGGACAAATCACCATCTAACAGCCCTGCGCAACTCAGTCTAAGCCACAGCCTCCCTGGAATATTCTACTGCACAAGACAGATGATCAGACTTTGCATTAATTCTAGCCACCTTCATGACTGGTCTCATTTCTCAAAAGACAAGAAATGAGACCTGAAAGTCAGTATTTTCTTATAGACAGTTTCTAACTCCATCTATACCCATGTTTGTCTGCACAGATCACCTGTACTGGCATCAGGGCACACAGAGAATTGCAAGCATGGTTCACACAACAGAAGAGTGAGGCTATGCCAAGATCCCTGGAAACACTTAAAAATCTTGCAGCCATTCTGAGAAAATCCAGTATTTTTGAGCTTTAAATTTGATTTGTACCTTGCTAATTAACTGCCTCCCTACTCATCACAGCAGTACACACTATGCAGAACCACGTCTTCATTCTGCTCTGAGACCAAAGCTGCTGCTGAATGCAGAAACAAGCTCAATAACCTGAACATCACACCGGGAGACGTCACTGACTGTGTCTCCCAAGCTCTCATGAAATGGAGGTGCTTAAGTGAATTAAATACCCTCTTGAAAATATACGGAGAATCAACCAACTGAACACATTCATTCTGAATGTGAGAATCAGGGAGCTTGGGGTTGAATTTATTTCCTTCCTCCAGGCAATTTTCACACATGCTGCTTAAATCATTGCTTACTGAAGCTGCATATTTAATTATTTAATACTGTGACTAGAGGCCAAAATGTTATATAAGCAAACCAAACAACCCAGTCTCACGTAGAAACAACATGTTTATGGATTACTGGCTCTGCCACACAGCAGTACTTCTCCTAGTCCCTAGATAAATCTCAATAAATATATATCCTATATCATATATATATTATATATTACCATATATAATGCATTAGGCTCTTTCAACCCAAATTACACATGCATTTGTTCAAAGGCAGCTGTGCACTGGGGATTTATGAAACACCCATTTCCCCATCAAACACACTCATGCTTGGGAACATGAGAGCATTCTTCATCAGCAGAAGGGCACAGAGAGCTGTAAACTCCAAAGCATGCCAACCCAGCCACACTTAATCTGCAGAGTTCCCAAGATCTCAGGCAAGTTAAAAGTGTCTCAGGAAAAGCCTGTACCTGCTACAACAGAAATGTCTGCCTGCATATGTTCTTCTTGACCCTGAAGTCGTACAACTAACCTTTCTGTCTCTGGTTTGGCTTTCAAATGAAAACGATGGTCTGCTCCGTTACCAGAAAGACCAGCCAGCTGCCTCTCCAGCACGGCTTTCATGTCTCTTGCTTTGTTTCTACAAAGTGGAGCGAAGTTTTCATTTGTACTTCACAAGACAATGGTGTTCCACTCCTGTGTGCTGTCTAAATCCAGTAGCACCCCACAACACACCTGCTTTCATCCCTCCTGAATTCTTCCACGCAGCCTTTCCCCCTCCTTACCTGTTACAAGGCGAGTAAGGACTTTAGTCTTCTCATTGAGGATGTTCACTGTTACATTTCTGGCAGACTGGAAGTACAGTGGGTTGCCCTGCAACGAGACCATGAGAGCAAGCACATGAGACAGGGATGGCTGCCCGAGGCCAGCCTGCCTGAGACACCTGGAGCTTTGCCTAATGCTGCGGGGCTGCTCTTAACAGCCCCAAGGTTGGGTGTGTGGTTGAGGTGCAGGCTATCCTACATTAATTTTTATTTTCCAGGATAAAACCAGAGTCCACACCTCTGTTTGACCCATATAATGTCCCAGAGACTAGCCCTGTTTTAGGGATGGTTAGCTTTATTGCCAATATAAGCCAACCAAACTGTTATTTTAAAAAGTGCAAGTGATATGGGACCTGACCTAAACTTCCTGAAGGTCGTGGTGTTTTGGGAGGCTGGCTGGCTGCAGCAGTGCATTTGCATCAAATCCTCAATATTACACACAGCTTCAGATGACTCCAGTGGGTGACTGTCTGCCTACCATACAGTCACTAGTGAGCCATGCCCAATGGCTGTGAATGAGAAAACCTTATTAACACGTAAAGTGCCTTTAGTCTCAAAGCACTTACAAACCATCCAGCACACAGCACCATCACACTCCAGACTGGGATACCAGCTTGGGATCAGACTCATCCCATTGGGTCTGGAGATACACAAGACATGAAGTCTTCCCCACTCCCACTTGACCACACAGATTTCTACCCATTTTTCATTTTTATGCTTTAAATTTACCTCTGAGAGAAGAGCTAGAGCAGCTGTTAATACACAGGAGCCACACAGCTACCTGGCAGCATCCATCTCAGGTATTTCTCCTGCAGAGTGAAGCCAAAGAAAACCCACAGAGAAAACCATCTGGCTCCTCCTGTGTGAAAATACATCCAAGACACCTGGGAACTTGTGTTTTCTACAGGCAGCCCCGGTCCACACATTTGGTTTCTCAGGAGCTATTAGCCACCTATGGCACTAGCACAGGGTGACCCCAACTTAAATCAGCCAAAAATCTAATGTGCAAGGTGGAAATTCACTGCCAGTATATCTTCATAATGTCTAAAGCAGGCAGCTGATTAAATTCATCAACTGATTCAGCCACAGGATTGGTAGAGGGGATAAAATAGCAAGAAAATCAGCAGGGAGTTGAAAATTTTATGTCCATGTGCTTCCTCCACCAAAGTCTTTTTCCAGTGTTTCAAAATCTTTCCATTAGGAATGAATAATCACAATGAAGACAGAGGATCATGTAGGTCAGGAATGTTCTGCTTGCCCCCTTAATTTATAGGGAACATAACTGATATTTGTGTAGATGCCATTTTTCTTGATCATGGCAAAAGGACTAGGTTGTCAGCATATAAAACATAACAGGAGCACAGGAATGTACTCATGGGGGTCCTGTGATGGACTGGAGCTTCAAAGGTAAATGATTCCCAGAAGCGTTTGCAGAAAACAAACCTCAAAAACTAAAATAAAGCCAGCCCCACATGTGACCAAATATTCACAATAATTACATTTGTTGCTTTAACTGATTGTGCTGCATGCACCTATGGGATCAGCCCTTCAGCAAATAAGGGGGAAATGGGATTTATTTGATCAATTATAACTAGACCATTATGGCTACATTCAGACTATTTAAAACTAAATTAAAATAATAAAAAGAAAGAATTCCACTTAATCATTTCCCAAACTTGGACAAGTTTCAGAAGCTCTTGGTCTTCTCATACACTAAATGAGGACAAATCATCCTTATATACCTCTGTGATATGTCTGACAGGTTGTATATTATATTAGTCTTGTATAGTATTAGCACTATATTTGTATTGTATACTTGTATACTATATTAGCATATATTATACTATTACACTAATATAGTACACAAAACTTAAATATGATAAGTTAGAAGTAAGGAGCAGTGGCAATGACTGGTAATGATTTTGCTCTTTTTTATTAATTTTTATTTTTGATCTTCCAGAACTTAAAAATTAATGTTGATTGCTATTTTATGCTTAGTAGCACAGAAAAAAAAGATGGCTTTACTTGAATACCCACTTGCTCTAGTATTAATTCTCCACAGCCCTGATCAGGGACCTAATTTGAACACCCTCAGCGATAGCAATTTACTGCTACATTTTCATCTCACACTTACAGATGAAGGATATTTTTAAAGGCAGATAGCTACAATCTGCGTAATCTATAGTTATAGGTGAGACTATAACCACTATAAACATACCATCTGATGCACAGAAAGATCACATTCTTGACTTGCACTGTTTGACTTTTGTTTATGGAGTTATTCAAGTACCTAGAGTGTTTTGAAAAGGCCAGGAAACCCTCTAGTACAATTCCAGTAGGAAAAGTCATTCAGTCCCCATGGCCTTGAAACTCTGTTACTGATCTGTGTAACAGGAGATTGCACTACACAAGTACTACAAGATAAGCCAAGTGGTTAATATAAAAAGTGGTTAATTTAAAGTGTCACAGAAAAACTTGCTCTGAAGAAGTCTTGTGAGACAAGCTAAGAGCTGGTATCCACCTACAAAAGACTTAAAATACATAATCAGACCTTGAAACGCTTACCCCAGCAGAGTCATCTCATTCACTGATTCAGAGCTCAGATTCATGCACCCTTCAAAAAACTAAATTTCCCTAATGGAAGAATTATGGTTTTATTGGTCTGCAGGGAAGGAACATTTCAAGCACTTAATGCAATGCCGACTCTCATTTCCATAATTCTTCTTCCATTAAGAAATGAAAAAGAGCTGAAAAAAAATACTCCCTTTTGCTGAAAATTCTGCAGATTTTCTGTACATCATCTGTTTACAGAAGTAGCAACACTGACATCTTTTACACACTGAACATTTGAAAAACATTTCCTCTGTTGCTAGCTTGGTGATGATGCCAACTCCCTTCAATCACACACAAAAAACCAATTAAAGCATTAAAAAATTCTTAAAGCAGAAAAGATAAATGAAAAGACAAAACCTTTCACTTCTCTTACACTTCCATGTTATCATGACACAAAATGAAGTATTCTGATGCACATGAACAAGTGGAAATCTAGACTAATATGGCATCATCACCACAACAAAAATAATGAAGTAATATTCTCATAAACCATCATAACACTTGACAGAGTTAGAATATCAGCATGCAATAAATAAGCACATCTGACCCCAATTGTAACACTGTAAGTACGAGATACACCACATTTCTGAAGTATAATATGCAACAATCCAATTCCGAATCTTTCCAGGTAAATCATCCTAAATAAATATAATTTACTCTTGGGATTGATGCAAAGAAAATGGAACTGAATAGAAAACTGGATTAAGTATTCTTTTAGGTTCAGAAAAGTAGGGGAAAGAATCTTTTTCTCTTTGTCTACCTGTTTCTCTCCAAAAGGTTCAACCCAATTCTTCAGAAAAGTACATTTGAGATAAAATATATCTGGTATTGCCGATCACACAATAACCCAACATATTTCATTGCCTGCATGCTATCTGATGTACTGAGAAATCTCTTTCCTGTCATTTGTTCTTCTTCCTCTCATCACAAGCACAACAAGGTTTCCCTGTCCCTCTCTGCCAGAGCAAATGCTGCTCCCAGCCCATGTGCTGCCACTCACTTGCTCTTTATGGCCAGACTTGACTGTTACAACTTTAACCTCTTTACAACCCTCTATTAAACGTGTTCTGTCAGCACAGTCCCAGTTCACATCCATCTTAGCCAGCCCATTGCACTGCACTAACTACAGCCTTTGATTTAAGCGCCTATGCAGCTTTGCAAATTGCATCAGTGGCCACCTCCTTCCCGACACTATTTTACATTATTGCTTCTTTTCAGTGGTTCCTTTGATCATTTGGCTGGAGAAACTGAGGTAAAGGTATCGATGGGAGTGGGATGTATTTTTTTCCCTTCTGCATATTTTCCTGTTTGCTTCTGATTTATTTCAAGCATTTTCCTTGCAGGACACCGATGGAGGATCCCACCCTGCTCTGGGCTGCTGCTCCATTTCTGGGGGCATGTGACACTGGGATCTTTTAAGAACTTTTTGGGATGGTTATCTACTTCCAGCCCTCCATGAATCTACTACTCATCTCTGCAGGAAATCTTACATAGTAAATACATCATTCTGCCTCTTACTCCAGCCCCTCATTTGCAGACCCAAAGGCTTAACAATAATGCAAATGTTTGTAGACACACAGAAGAAGTTGCCACAGCTATTCAATACATTAAAACATTGGAGACATGCTGCAGAATAAAGAATGTGAAAAATGCAAAAATATGTCAAAACAGTAGAGCTTGTTTCCTCACTAAGCAGTGAGGTATCCAGTAAAATATAAAAGATTTTGCAAAAGGTATCGACGGTTTGTTTGCTAGGTTAAACACATGGCAAAACAATGTCTAACAGCTCACTATCTGTCTCTCTTTGGCTCATTTCGGAAGAGATGCTAAAAACTCCTAGATCAGCGACTAAAACAGAAAAAACACTTTGACTGACAACCTTAATTTTCAGCTAAAGGAATACCAACCAGTGCTGTCTTTAAGGCAATTCAATACTTTAACAGATGTCCTTAGACTGTTTTAGGGAATTATTAAAAATATTTGGAAATCCTTTTAAATTTTAACAGGCAATTTTAAAATAATGCATCACAGTCAGTGTGTTTGCAATTCAGATGGTCAAAAGAAGTAGCTTTGATTTGATCCTGTGGATTCAAAGACTTCATGTAGTAAGTTCAAGTGAAGCTTGTGGAAATAACAGAAATGGTGAATCTCCTCCAGGCTTGAAAAAGTAATGTGAAAAATTAAAATGTTAAAGCATAATCCAGGCTGGCAAGGAGCAGTCTATAGAGAAGCCACTCAGAGCACCATTTTCCTGCTGAACTGTACCTCTCACTGACATTACAGAAAGCAAACCCTGCTCTACACACAGCTGGACTGTCAGAGGGCAAAAGCTCGATTTCTGTAAAGCAAGCAGCCAGCCCGATATGAGAGCAAAAACTCTCCTTCACTTGGCCTAAAGCCACAAGCAGCACATTCACTTGCCTGCACCCTTGAGTC